ACATCAAGGCTGTAATGTGATTGGTTATTAAGGCACACGTGATCCAAGTTGACCGTTACACTTTCTCCAATAGTAAGTAATACAGACCCTCTCATCTTCCTATAGTAAAACAATCTCTGGTGTATGTCGTAGAGAGTAATGCTCGTGGATATAGCTTATGATGCGACCGATCGGAGTTCGATTCCGCCTTTTGCCGAACTCGCTCTTTTTCCTTTTTTCATCACATATCACATCGGAAAAGTGGAAATCAATTGCCTAACGAGTGTTTAATAATGTATTAATTGGGTAGGTTTAGGGGTAGGTAGGCTATAGGGAGGGTTTCGGTGTACCGATAAGGCAGCATCTATTTAATAATTTTAATAAATAAAATAATTTACAATCTATGTTATTATTGCATCCTGTTAATATACAACAATACTGAGGTGGAAATATTTATTGCAATATATATTATTGCAAAGATCTGCTACTTTTACATAGCGTAAATAGAATCGCTATTTTCACTTATTGTAAATAGCACATCGCTAAAAATGCTGCTGTTGTCACTTAGTGTAAATATATCACAATTTTCACTCGCTTTCAATTCGCTGATTAACACAGTTCAATGAAATAAAAAGAACATGACACCAGTGTGTTTATTCTCAGCATTTTATTTTGGCTTTATTCTTGTAATTTAATGAGTTTATTCTCAACATTTAATTTAGACTTTTTTCTCGAAATTTTATGAGTTTAATCTCGCATTATAATGACTTTAATCTCGAGAATGTTTTTTTTTATTTTTATTGTTGCTTGGCCCTAATCTTCTTCTGTAAATACATGTGGTACAATAAAAAGAATAATATAAATAACACTGGAAATTAAAAAAAATACATTATTTGAAATTAAAACAAGGAAACTTATCATTATAATTAAAAAATCATGTCCACATTACCTGTGGTAGTGGCACCTCTTCCACTTCACACTATTTTTTGTAAGCCTACATTGAATGAAAGATGTTATGTGTGGCTGGATTTTAGGCCTTTATTTTCAAATATACTTTTTACTTTAACCAGGATGCTTGCCAATAATGGGTGTGTTTGTGAAGGCGACAAACCAGGCATTAATTTTCCATTCGCTCAGCTGCTGTTTCCTCAAGTATCAGCTACCCAGCTACATGCATCCTTCCAAGATTCAGACCTGCAAAAAGCAAAGCAATACAGAAATAAAGAGTATCACAGTTTCCATAAGAGGTGGTGTATAATTTTTACCATATTTCTGCTTTCTAAAAAATTGCCATTGCTCATTCTGAGGAAACCTTTTAAATTAAATCTGTATTGTTCCACTGGAGAAAGAAAGATTTGGAATGACATGAATGAAAAACTGTTAAATTAGTAGCGTTTTCTTTATTCAGGACATATACAGCTGCAGACTCCCTTATCTTAGCAGAAGCCAACAGCCCTCTTCAGTACCCTACGCAGGGTGTGGAAGTCAGACCAACAAGGTCCATTCATATTCCTGGTAAAATACAATCAACATGTTTTTATATGTAAAAACAGATTTGCACAGCTTGTCTTTGAGAACCACTGATTTGAATTGTACGGTAATAGAGACAGTGTTCACATATGTATGATATAACTGAATATATGTCTGACAGATTGATAAAGATGTTAAATAACAATTTGGTTTCACCATATAGATGTCATTAAAAAACACATTTGATTTATTTCTTTTTTTTTTTGGTGTAATTTAGAATCAGAATGTGGACTTAAATCATATTTGTGTCAGCATTTTGAAAAAAAGGGTATCTGTCTTGAACTGGATTACTTCATTTTCATTCTACAGGAAACCAATAAAAAATTGAAATTTTAATATGCATGTTTGGCCTGTACACAGTTGCCATTTTAACCCCAAACTGTCAGTTCTGCCTGATGTACATTAAAGATTATGATCAATAAAAAACACTTTTTGCTAAGCATATAAGCTTTATCTTTACGAGTTAATGCACATAAGCAAGATCACACATTAAGTCTGTTATTGTGTTTTCAAGGTTTGAGTCTGAACCAAATATCCAAAGAGGGCCCTTATTTGGTAAGAACACAATTATTCTTTATGCTTCATAAAAGTAATTCATTAAATGAATAGTTCACCAAAAAATGAAAACTTTGTCATTACTTAACATAATGTCATTCTAAACCTGTATTCTGTTTTTCTCCTGTGGTACAGCATACAGCTCTATTTCATAATGAAAAGACTGTCCATTTTTGTGGTAAGGGATGATTCAGGACTCAAATGTTGAGTTCAATACACTTTGTTTAACCAAAGATTTGTGACAAGACTGAGAACACAGGGAGAATAAATAGGAACGGAAGTTAGGAGGATAACGAGGAAAAGCGTGTAGGGCAAATAAACCAATAAGTTAAATAAGGGGCAGGGTTAAGACAACTGACAGAGGAACAAATAGCACAAACAAAACAATGCCATGTGCCCACACAAAACATGACACGAACATGCTGCCAATAAGAGCTCTTACCGAATAAGTGTCCACACAAAACATGGTAACACAGAAGCATCATAACATCATACCTGCGATATGTGCCATATTTGGTTAGAAAGAAAATAATTGGCATGGATGAATGAATAAATGTGAATAACAGTGGCGGCTCGTGGGTTTTAAAATAGAGGAGGCACACTAATTGAATTGGTCTGGGGATCCCTGCCGATTATTATTATTATTATTTGCTTAACCACTTTAAAATGGCTTTTTGGTTGCTTTTAGTCAGAAAACGTAAAGAAAACGACACACATACAGCAAGATAATATAATTTCACTAACCTGGCCTATCACTTGAAGCAAACATCCATCCCTTCTTAAAAGTCTGTTAAAAGAGCCGACTGCTGTAACGTTAGCCTATATCCAGCTTAGGCGTGTTCTCCCTTTATTTTTAATTTGTATATATACTGTTTGAATGACAGCTTGCTAAATCTATTGGCATCAAATATTCAATATCGCTACTCATAACAAGTACTTGGTACATTATCAGCGCAGCGGGAGACGTTCAAACTAATTGATTGGTTGATACCAGTAGGGAGGCTAGTAGGGGTGGAACGATTCAACTTACTCACGGTTCGGTTTGTATCATTTAAGAGTCACGGTTTCGGTATGGTTCAGTATGTGCTATGTTTAGGCAAAAACTATACTGTCAAATAAAAATAAAGAAAATAAGAATAATCTATCTAACTACAAGCAACAGCACAAATAAATACAATAGAGTAAAGATAAAAATAAAATAAACAGTGATTTTAAGGGTTTTTTAAGGTAGGTCTAACATTAGTTTTTAGGTACAGAAACTGAATAAAGTAATGAAATGTAAAACAGCATTGCATATTTGACTGATTAAATTAAAGACTAATCTTTATTAAAGGGGTCATATGATGCGATTTCAATTTTTCCTTTCTCTTTGGAGTGTTACAA